ATTTCTATTTCTAAGAAACAAAAACATCAATAAACAATTTCTTCTTCTATTTTCAGCATTTAAATATCACGATCACATCAGCAGAATAGCTTTTGAAATTAGTTGGCTTTTTCCTGAATTGTTTAATATAAAAATCGATGAGTTTGACGAAAACGTCTTGAGTATAAGTAGTATTTACTGCATTGCTACACCCATGCACCCACACCGGCACATTTTTTCTGACTACCTAGCTATCAGTAAATAAGTTTCAGCGAAACGTCCGTAATTCGTTGTTAGTTTATAACTGAAAAGAGCCCTTAGAGATTTTTTCTTATCTTTTCTTAATATACTCCATGAAATGAGGCATGAATGTATTGAAAACAAGTTGAAAATCTCAAAAGTCCTCTACGTTACAGGTTTTACTATACTCCTCAAGTGACTCAATAAAAAACATTGATTGAGAATTCATTGAGTGACTAGAATGTGTAAGTGCGCGGGTTTAGAGAGAGAGAGGAGATTCACATCCATACTCGCACTCAAGGGCGGTGCAAGCTCAATATGGTAGGGAAAGCAAGAAAATTATAAACTAATCCATTTTATCTTCATCCCCTCTTTGCGCCCCCTCCCCCCTCCCTCCTCCCTCGTAATAATGAACAGTGTAGAAACAAAAAATTTTGTCATTTGAGTTTTGTATTTCTTAAAGGCATTATATGTGGAAGCTTGAGCATTAAATCACCTGAGAATGCGTTGAAATCTGAAATAAATATAACACTTTGTAGTGAAAAATATTTGCTCAAAAAAATTTCGACAAAAACTCGATTCATTTCACCTATATCTTCCGTTTACTAACTATTGTGTTCTCGCTTTGATACTCACGTAAAAGGTACCTTAATGTTGGAAAAATCATAGACATAAAAATTAACTGGAAAAACGGTAGTGCTGGTCTTCGTATTGCTTAACAATTTAATGCGAGCAGCTAGCTGATATCCTCTTTCATCGTGAATAATCGATAAATTTGTTTTCTTCAGAGATTTGAATTTTAAATTTAAAAATCTACATTGTAAACTTTGTAAAAAAGAAATCGAAAACACATAAGGGATGCCAAATTTTCTGCATATTTTCAATGATAAAAAACATGCAAAGAACACCAGCTATTACGTTTCACTCATTAACCCTTTGAGGACGGAATTTTTTTTCGAAAACCAGTTCTTCAATCATTTTGTTTTTTCATTTGTTTAGTTTTAATTATGACCAGAATACAAAGGAATAAGAGTACAAGTAGTTTTATTTCTCTCTGAATGAAAAAGTAAACGAAGTTTGCTTAAAAATCTAGAATATAAAAAGTTTGAGAATTTATGTAATAATTGTTTTTCACTTCTTGTATCTAAAGATTACGACATTCATCCACTTCTTAGCAAAAGAAGAACAATAAATCTTTTCCAACACTATGAATAATGTAAATTCGTCAATGAGAACGAATGTGCATATACCCAATAGAGAATCAGAATATTCTCGAAAAACAAAAGATCAGAGGAGAAGAGAGAAATTATGACGTCACTGTACCTTAGCAGCAAGAACAAAGGATATTTGAAAAGAATTTATATGAGAGAAGGAAAGAAAGAAAAGAAAAGTATGAGATGACACATGCAGTTGTTTATCACTTTAATGACCTTACATATTTAATAGTTTAATGTGAACTAAACACTTTTTTCTCTACTGAAGAATAGGTGGGTGAAAAATAACTCACCCGTCCTCAAAGGGTTAAATGTTGGTTCATAGGACTTGACTTCTTTTGATCAAAGCAGTTAAGCACATCTGGCCAGTCTTAGAGAGGCGGGCGACTATTTACAGTTACACTATTGGTCATGATCCAGCAGAAAGCTTTAGACATCGCTGGTTTTGAAAGAAGAGAATGCAAAATAATGACACTATTGACGACGTGCTACTTAAATGATCATATGTCGGATATATATAACAGGAAGTATAATCATCAGAATAACAATTAACAAAATTATGATATTATCGATCAATCTTCATCAGACATGTAAAGAGAAGAGGGATGTAGGGCATTACGTTCCTTTGCTTTTGAAACTTAACTATGCAGCCTGAGTATTTCGTGTACTTCTCTATGTTGAAAAACCTCTGCGCCTCCATTATGTACCGCTAGGCCCCTGATCTTCCTACATTAAATGCAGAGTCGCCCTGAATAAGTATTCGCTGGATTAACTAGAAACTTAGAAGTTTTGGGAAGCAATTAGTTCTTATTAGTTCCCCGGATGCTGTGCGGAGGAAGCAATCGTTATCTCTTGTAGTATTGGTGCACTGGCTGTGCTTACAGCTAGACCCCACAGTCACATTTAGATCGTGGTTTGTTATATAGAAACGCAAGTATTTTTTGCCTGTTAGACCGTTCCTTGCAGAAAGATAATTAACAATTTTAATGAAAACCTGATCTCAGATTCATATTCTCAAGTAGCAAATTGCCTTTCGCCCAGTATTTATTACAATCAACAAGAAAAAATACACTTCATCGTTAAGAACAGTAATGCTTTATGATCATTTGAACACGAATACATTTTTCTCATTGAGGCTGTTTCTTTTAGAGAAATAAATAAATGTTATTCGTATGCCTTGTCAAAAGTCATTAGAGCTAAAAATTTTCTAAAAAAGTCAGATCTTGACATGAATTAGTTAATGGAGACGTTGAAATAGTTGTACTCGACGATTACTTGTATCAGATATATACAAGTTGAGTTCTTCATCAAGTGCTAATCCAGTAGGATACCGTAAAGTTGTTGCCGATGAATCAACTACCCCCTTGTTGGCAATAGTTCTAGCAGTGGCATTCATTATTGGATATCGACAATATAATTGAATTCCATTATTATTATTGTCCGCAGGGTAGAGATTAAAGTATGAACCCAATTTAACAGCAACAGGAAATTTCAAAATAACACTGTCATTACCTGGCAGTGATGGGACAGGTTCAGTTCCAAATATCTGGAACCGTTTACATCTAAATATATATTCTAACATATTTGTTAAATTGTTCACTAAAAGTGAATGAAGAAGGTATAGCATATTTTTATTGTTTACTCATCTGTTTCATAAATCTTCAGTCACTAGCAATAGTTTTGTTCATCTTTCAGTACATAATTTTACAGACAACATTGTAATAGGAAGCATTCATATATATATATAAGTAAATATTAAATGATTACCCATTTTGTATTAGCTTTTAATGCATTAATTAAACCTCGCTTTGTTTTGCACTTCAAAATAATCTTTAGCAGACGGCAATAAAGTTAGAAAAAATTATCTAATTAATATCTTAAAATGAATAGCTTTACTGAGATTTTCAGACTTTTCAAGTTTAGCGAGTCATAGTGGTTATTACTTTTCAAACTGTAAAAGACGAAACGAAATTTACAATTTTGACGCAATCGTTATATTTTGAAGAGCAACATTTTCTTTTTCAATAGATGTGCTATCATTAGTTTATTATTTTCAAGTGCCCCATCACTCCGAAATGATAAACTAGAAAAATACAGAGTAATGGCTAGAAATTATGACATATACAAATTATTTCTCAAAACCTACGCTATATGATATTTTCACAGAACGTCCTTCAAAGAATAATAACCTGCTAGTGGAAACAAGTTGTGCCCTTTACACTGAACGACGAACGAAAACGCAGTGAGTCATTCTTGATTGACAAAAAGATTGGCTAGCTACTAAAAATACGCTACAGTCTTTTTCGATGGGAAAATGTTTCTAACACAAAAACGAAAATACCTAGGTTTTTAGCATTGTATGCAGCTCTTTTGTCTAGGTCACTCTTAGAACTATCAAAAGCGTTATAAGCATGTCTTCAATAAATTGTTGTACGTGAATATTCTGAAAAAAGATTAGAATCTGATAAACTTTTTTTCTGTATTTTTTTAATCGATTCGATTCGGTTCGATTCCAAAAAAACACGAACCAATCTCATCACCGTTACCTGGTACACTGTTTGTACCGGCAACTACAGTACCACTAGACGCTCCAAGTGGCCATTGTACAATCGTGTGCTGAACAGAGTTTGCTATGTATGTAGTTTCCACATTGTTTGATGCATCAAAAGTAAAATCTTGAGGCTGATTCAACTGATTTGCGCCGGCTCCTTGATTTCCGGGAAAAGGGTGTGGGTGTGCGTACAGATTCTAGATATCTACTCATACACACACACGCCGATTACACATAGAAGAAAACAATATGAGTCGAGAACATTCTCTGTTACAAGCGTGCATCTTATATGGCTTCACACACTCCATTATTATTAACATCTGTTATATTTTGTTTACATTCTTTGATTCTTTTGTGGAACTCACGTATATTTTCGAAGAAAAGGGTGAGTGTAAGTTTTAATTTCGAGGTTTTGGCGCCCCCCCC